GGGGATGGGCTGGGGGTATGTGGGGGGGTGGGGAGGGGTGGGCGTGGGCTGGGATGAAGGGGCTCTTGAGATCCGGAGGGAGGGGTCAACGCTTAGAACCCCCCGCCTCCAACTCCTCCCCCACCCCCACCTCTGGGCCTGTTCTTCCGCAACCCCTTCCTCTCTGCAGGGCGTGGGGTGCCAGCGCCGGCTCCGGGGCCCTCACCCCACTCCCACCTCCCTCTTGTAGATAAGATGTCCCTGCCCTTGGCCAGTCCAGTGCCCCCTACTCTCTCGACTTTACCACTTATGTGACCCCTGGGGCAGCGGAGACCCCAGCCAGGATTTGACTAGATCGTCCTCCCTCCAGATTGTGCTTCCCACCTCCCCACCCCTGCCATTTTGTTTTCCAGTTTTTTTCAGAAGCCAAACAGTTGCTGCGTCTGGTCTCTTCACCTCCGTCTGACCTCTGCAGCCCCTCCGATGGCCTCAGCTTGTGCTGGCCCTGAGTGCAGGGTTCTCTTCTTTTCACCAACGGACCCCTTCGGACAAAGTCAGGAAGGGACCTGGAAAAGGAAAGTGTGGGCGGGACGCTCCCAAGCGGTGCCCCTCAACCGTGGGGATGTCGCGTCCGGGCCACCAGGGGGCACTGGAGACATGGAATCCAGGACGGTTTTGGCACCTCCTTCCTCCCAGCCCCTCTAGGGGAGAAAGTCGGGCTTCTGGAGAGATGGTGAGAGCCAGGTGGATGAGGATTCTTGCCTGGAGGGGTTAAGAGCAAAGCGGAACTCCAGCCCTGTCACTAACGCTGGCCTGGGGGACCTCCTTTGGGTCCTTTGAATTCAGCTTCCTCACTCAAGTCCAGTAAGTACTTGGCCTCCTCAGACTGTGAGGCTGTGTCCTTGTCATCCAGGTGACCCTAAATCTTTAACCACAGGCCACCAGAAGGTAGTGGTGGCCAAGAATAACAGGCAGGGCAGTAGTGATGGCTATCTTTCGTGGCTCAACCCTGCCATTCCCCGAGACATCCCCCGTGCCTGTGAGCTAACAGAGCTTAAGGTGTCCAGCTACACCCATGGTTGGATGGATGGATGAATGAATACATAGGTACATACAAATGAGGGAATTGTGTTGATCCCCCTGGACCTGGGATTGTTACCTGGAACAGGGCTGGTAAAAACTCAATTTTTTCACTTTGGAACTGGAGACTCAGCCTCTCCCTCCTTCCTCTTGTCCAGACTCATTCAACAAACATTTGTCCTTGAGAGGCTGCTGATGCAACACTCAAGGAGATAGTGCTCATAAGTTTTAAGATGGAACCGGAAAAAAAACAAAACAAAACCAAAACAAGAAGACCATTGTTTTAAAGTGGCAGGTTGTAACTAATTCTCTGAGAGGGCAAAGGATGCATCTGTGGGACTTGAAATGGAAAGGGTATCCCTTTGAAAATTGCTGAATGTTATTTTCATGATTCGATGGCTGATTTAAGGCCTGATTTCAGGTTGACACACTGAAAAGATGATGTCGGAGATATTTGAAAGCAAAGGTCACAGGATTGCTTATATTGTATGATATAGTCCTATTCATGTACAAGTAAACATGAAAGTAACATTTATTCATTTCATTGTTTCAAGCAATGCTCACAATGTTTACCATGTTTCTGGGGCTAGACTAGGCCTGGAATAGAAGAAGCAGTGAAAGTTACAGGGACCCCCCCCCCACCTCCTGGAATACATGTAATTCTTTTTCCTGAACATTGTACTTAAGCATGTCAAGATGTCCAGAAGATGGTCACTAAAATGGTAACACTGGCCATGGTAAAATAATTTTCTATATTTTGGGGGGTGTTTTTGCTTATTTTTTGTGGTTTTGTTTTGTTTTGTTTTTTGGCCTTGCCGCATGGCATGTGGGATCTTAGTTCCCCGCCAGCCAGGGATCGAACCACGCCCCCTGCAGTGGAAGCATGGAGTTCTAACCACTAGACCGCCAGGGGATTCCCAACTTTTCTGTATTTGGGAGTAAACTTTTCCATCATAAATGTTTTCCTTGACCAGTGATTTATTTGGAGATATGAAGAAATTCAGTCACCCCACACAGCCTCTAGTCCCCCAGTCTGCTGCAAGATTAAGCTGACATAGAAGGTCTTGGAGAGGATCCAGGATGTCTGGTCTGCGTTCCTAAGGCCATATGTCCTGATTTGGGGGAACCACCACTTTTGAAAATCCTTTTGGGGGACTCTCCTGGCGGTACAGTGGTTAAAACTTTGCCTTCCAATGCAGGGGGTGTGGGTTTGATCCCTGGTTGGGGAGCTAAGATCCCACATGCCTCGTGGCCAAAAAACCAAAACATAAAACAGAAGCAGTATTGTAACAAATTCAATAAAGACTTTAAAAATGGTCCACATCAAAAAAGAAAGAAAGAAAGAAAATTCTTTTGGAGTAGCTATGAATAAGCTCAGAGGGAAAGGCAGGTAGAGGGCAGCATCCTTCCATCCCAGACTCAAACTCAGGCCTCCTGCAGGCAACGGCCTTGCAGATTCAGAGGGCAGGAAGCCCCTCCCCAGGTGTGTGTGTGGTGGACAGGGGAGATCAGGTGTGTGGGGAGGGGGAGTCATCAGAAGGCCAGGTGCTCCGTGTCCCTCAGAACCAGCTTCAGAACAACTTCTTGGGAAGAAGACATCCTCCCCCCCGCCCCTTCCTGGCTGGGCCAGGGCATCTGCCCGCTCCCCTGCATGCCAAGCCTCAGGGCTTGGAGCAAAGGAGGAACTGAGAAGCATCCAGTCCTTTGAGGGTCTGGATAGAACAAGAGCAGAGGAAGGAGGAGTTTGCCCCTTTCCTGTCTCGCTGTTGAGCAGGGACATCTCATCTCATTTTCCTCCGTCCTCAGCAACTTCGGTATCAGGTCTTAGGACTTGGTCTGAATCACACCAACAGCTTTCCTGAGTCTGCAGCTTGCAGACTGTGGGACTTAGTCTTATCTTTAATAACAGACATTATTATTTTAACCAGTGTGTAAAATAAAAAAGCACAAACATGTTCAAAACACACTTAAGCAATAGTCATGAATCAAAAATGATTGCTTCCCCCGAACATCTTTCTCCTTTTCCCTCAATCCCCAAGGCAAGCCTTTAGCTTTCCCCACCATTGGCCATAGAGTCACCTCTCGTGGGCTCCTGAAATGTCTGTCACTTGGTATGAAGAGCTGCCTCACAGGCATAACCTGGTACCAAGGCTGTGGTGGGGTGGGCTAAATAGTCCTGGGGTGAGGGTCCAGGCCACCTGGTGTGGCAGGTGACACATCTCATCGTGGAGGGAGTTAATGGACAAAGGGAAATGAGGTTAGAGGGGATGGAAGGGATCGGGGGCCTGGTGCTGAGCTTGATGGGGAAGAAGGGAGGAGGGGAGGGCAATGCAAGAGGGATTTCCAGCCATCACTCAGCTGCCTCCCAGGGGCTTGGTTGACACCGTCTGCAGCCACCAGGGGGCAGCAAGGGTCAGGATTTGGGGAAGGTACTTGAGGGTTACACTGTCCTGCATGAAGTTTCAAGAGGGGCTCCCCACGGAACACTTCTTATGTCCCAAAGCATTTGTACCCCAACAAATCATCTTAAAAAGTGCTAATAAATGGCCCAGGGCTCAGGCTCGTGCCTCAGACTCAGAGCACTGCAGAGACAGAGGCTGGAGGGGAACGTGGGGACACTCCAAACTGAGGGGGATAAGAAGGAGTTGGGGGGTGGGGGAGGGATGGATTGGGAGCTTGGGACCAGCAGATGCAACTATTATATATAAGATGGATAAACATCAAGGACCTATGGTATAGCACAGGGGACTGTATTCAATATCCTCTGATAAACCATAATGGAAAAGAATATGAAAAAATGTATATAGAGTATAACTGAATCACTTTATTGAACAACAGAAGTTCACTCAGCATTGTAAATCAAGCACACTTCAATAAAAATTTGCAGTTTATTTGTTCTTTTCTTTCTTTTTTTTCTTTTTTTCATTTTTCACAGCACTATGCGGCATGCAGGATTGGAGTTCCCCGACCAGGGATCAAACCTGCACCCCCTGCAGTGGAAGCACAGAATTTTAACCACTGGACTTCCATGGAAGTCCCTTCAATAAAATGTTTTTAAAAAAGAGGGAGTTGAGGGGTTACTGGTCCCCAGCTCAGCCTCTGACTCCTGGAAAGCGGGGCAGTTGGATCTTTCAGCCGCCTGGGCTCAGGGCCTCTCCTTTGTCCCAAGAGCACAGAGAGGACCTTCTGGGATTCCTCCCCCAGGAAGCACCATGACTCTCACACCAGGAGAGACAGGAAATCCCGGGCTGGATTCCTTTCCCACATCCTGTCATGGACTCGTTCTGTCCTCACACACCATGTGAAGGAGTTAAGTCTCCAATAATCTCTGCTGTCTAGGGATGCAGAAGAATCTAGAACAAACCATGTCAGAGGGGGTGAGAAGAAGGGGTGAGGAGGGGCAGGTGCAGGGAGCAGATTTGCATGGAGGCCCCTCCCTCCTCTGAGGGGGAGGGGATAAGAGAGGTCTGGGGGTTCAGGGCCAGGGCTGGGGCTCAGAAGGCAGCGTCTGGGGCGTCTCCACTATGGCCTGGGCTCTGCTCCTTGTCACCCTCCTCACTCAGGACACGGGTGAGGCCTCCAGGGAAGGGACCCCAGGGACATCTGGCTGATCCTTTGTGTCTTTGTCCTCAGGGTGACAGAACTGACCAGAGTGTGTTTCTCCTCTTTGCAGGGTCCTGGGCCCAGTCTGGCCTGACTCAGCCTCCCTCAGTGTCCGGGAATCCGGGACAGACGGTCACCATCTCTTGTGCTGGAACCAGCAATGACATCGGGGGTTATAACCGTGTCGGCTGGTACCAACAGCTCCCAGGCATGGCCCCCAAAACCCTGATTTATGATGTCAATAAACGGCCCTCAGGGATCCCTGATCGCTTCTCTGGCTCCAAGTCTGGCAACACGGCCTCCCTGACCATCTCTGGGCTCCAGGCTGAGGACGAGGCCGATTATTACTGTAGTTCATATAGAAGTGGTTACAGTGTACACAGTGGTCCAAGTTCATTGGGAAGTGAGACCAAATCCTGCCGTGGCTCACAGGCTCCCCATTGCTGTGGCTCTGCTGGCTGCTCATCTGCATCTGTGGTTGAAGCCCTGACAGCTGAGAGGAGATCTGAGCACCCTGCAGACGGATGAGGAGAAAGAACAACGAGTGGTTTTCATGTTTGTTGTCCTTCCTGTTTGACCTGCATCTGAGTGGGCTGAGCCTGGGAGGGTTGGGGACACAGTCTGGGTCTCAGAATTGTCTCTGTCCTGGCATCGGTGAACCCTGTCTGGGCACAGCCCTACAGGAAGACAGTCTCCCAATACGATGGGCTCTTTGCAACATGGCTCCAGTATGGAGGGTGGGTTGGAGGGTATGTCCTCCCTTCCTCAGTGATATCAAGGTCCCATGTTTCCATGAAGAGCCAGTGCGGCTTCCAGGTGGAATCCCAGCACATGTAACACGCGTGAGAATTCATTGAAAAACAGGCGTGAGTGTCGTGGCTTCAATATTAAATTTTTCTTGAACCTGAAAGGCAGTTTTCAAATGGAAACATGACTAAAATTTAAATTATGTGAATTCAGTAGTTAAAAAATAGTTTTTTTTAATGTTTTGATTTGGTTTTTGCTGTGTTTCCTGCGACCATGCCACGCAGCTTGTGGGATCTATGTTCCCCGACCAGGGATCGAAACTTCACCCCCTGCAATGTAAGTGCTAAGTCTCAACCTCTGGACCGCCAGGGATATCCCAAATTCAATAGTTTAGACGAAAAAGTACGTTGGTTGGATTCCTCAGGACACATCATCCCCACAGTAACAAGTGAGGAGGAACATTTGATAGCTGTGTGTTCAGGCGTCTAGGACTGGAGAGCAGCTCTTTCTGTGGTCCTGGCTCCTGGCTCTCATGAAGTTGGAGTCACGTGTCAATCGGGCTGTTTTCACGTGTCAATCGGTCCTCTAACTTTGGAAGACGCGTCGTATATGGCTCACTCTGTGCCGGCCCTGGGCTCGCTTTTCTTGTCTAAATCATCTTCCTGATAAACCTGATTTTTTTTAACCCAACCAATTAGGCCCCTTATTTTCCAAGTCTATGTTAGTCTCAATCTGTGTATTCATTTGTCTTTATCACAGCATTTTACAAATGACCAGAGTCTTTGGTCTTTGTATCTATATCATCAGAGCTCAAGTAGGGTGGAGAAAATATTGACCAACTTCATTTCTAACTTCTACTTTCATTGGGATCATAGCTGCTAATAAGTGTGCAGTGCGGGAATCAGTGTTTTTACTCTCCTGAAATAGCCTCTGTTATGATTTCTACCCTCCACCATTATTATGGAAACAGCCGTTGCTCCTCTGCATCGGTCCTCTTATTTCTTTCTTCTTTTTTTTCTGTTAAACATATAGCTGCATTTATAGTCAGTGTTACATTTTTCAAAGCAAGACTTTCTCTTTTAATGAGAACGACCTGAGTATGGCTCTCCACATGTTCAGAAGTCACATTCTACAAAGTAGACTGAGCTGTGATATCAAATATTCCCCTGAATATAGTAACCCTGAGCTTGCAGTTTAAACAATCCAGTGTGGGTACTTGTAGGCAGATGTGTGTGTCTGTGCCTAACAATCAGAGCAAAGTTCACCTTGTGGCCACACAGAGACCCCTCCCCACTCCCGTCCTCAGTGCAGGTACTAACAGCTCTGTCACTGAGCAGGATATGGATGAGTTTTCAAAAGAGCACGATGGGATACACACTGAATCTAGAGGATCTTTGATTCCCTTCCGTTGGATGAGAAAACATCTGGAGAAGTTTTGACCCAATATTTTAGGTGGATTTGGAAACATATGTTTGACTAAGAAAAAAGGTACTTTCTATCATAGATGATATTTTGATTCTCGGAATCTCAATGAAATGAAAATCTCGGGACACAAAGCAACAGTCTCAAGTCAGGAGCATCTCTTGCCATTTTGTGCCCCGTCCAATGTGATGCCCAAACATTATTCCAGACAGCAGGTGGGACCCTGCTCTGGACTGAAGGTGTGTCTTGTTTCTTATCCATATCCCGGAAGTGGAAACAGGAGCCCTTGCTCAGGTTTGGGGGCGGGGTGGACAGAGAGGAAATTTCCTAAGAGTTCACAGTGAATGAAGGGTCAAGGGATATCCGATGGGTTACGTTTTCTGGAACAGAGATGAAGAATCTCTGAAAATTCAATTAAATTTTTAAAAAACCTCTGTACTCTTTGCTGTTGTAACATGTTCAAGGCAGAATACGACTCATGGGAAATCCAATAAGGATTCACCATCAAAAGTGGGTAGACAATAACTTTCCAGCAGGTGGTTTGCTTTGGTTATTTTCCCACTGCAAACGTATGGCATATTTAAAGGATAAACCAAGAAGAAAGCAGTGGACATTAGCCAGTGTTGTGGAGAAAGAAGATCTGGACTATTTGTGCATTTTTTCCTTAATGAGGACAAAACATGTGCTTACTGGCAGAGGACTCCCTCCTGCTCTAGGGGATCCCTCCTAATGGAGGCTGGGTGGCAGCCGGAGGCTCTTGGGGGAGTTCTGGCAGCTCTTAACATCCACAAGGCAGAGGCTCCAGATCAGCTTCCGGGTGGTGGGGGGCGAGTGTGGCCGCATCTGGGGTCCCTGCCTTCGGATCAAGGAGCCACAGAGAGAAAGCAACAAGGGTGTAGACAGGAGCTCACACTGAAAGTCTGGGGAGCAGGAGTTCCGAGTTTGGACCTGATAATCCTCTCACTGGAGCTTGTTCCAAGGGTGGTGGGGAGGTGTGGGGAGTTTCCAGTGCGCCTAACTTACTGCTTCTCTGGGTGGTCCTGGGCTGTCCGGGGAGGGGTGGAGTTTAGTGCAGACCCTGATTCCCGTGATGACCTTTACCCGCCGGGTGCAGACGGCAGGACACGGAGGGAAACCCTAGACCCTGGGTTTGCTGCTTGTTTTCTCAGATGGTCCTGTGTCGAGTGTCCCCAAGACCACAGGCAACTACTTTTGTCATTAAGCAGACCCACAAGACTCAGTAGAGAGGTGTCCTGGTGGCTGTGATTTCCTTCAGTGAAGGGAGACCAAGCAAAATCAACAAAGGGCTTGGTGGATGAGATGAAATCTGAGGAAACGAGGATAAACTTCCAGGAAACCTTTCCCAAGGTCGGGCTTCATCACCACAGTTAAATGGTGACAACCTGTGTGAAGAATTGTCCCCCAGGGAGCCTCATCAGACCCACAAGACTCTTCCTGGAGGCTGGTCTCCTAGGCATCCTGTGCCTGCCATCTACCGAAATTCCAGATTCCCGCTGGGGAGCAGGTCAGGGGTTCAGAATAAACCATAATGTTGCAGGAAAGTGGAGACTCAGGGGGTCATTCTCCTTGGGGAATAGCCTAAACCTTCCTGAAATCTCATCACAAGACACAAACCAAGGGCGAGTCTTGTGGGCAGGTCTATCTAGGGACATTAGTCTCAGGCTGTGGGGTAACTCTGATGTGCACAAATCCTACGTGTATTCCTACGCCTGAGTTCAGGCCCTGGATCCAAGGGAAATCCAACATCTCACCATCAGGTCTAGGTTATGTTCTATTGCAGGATGTGCTCTGTCTCCGTGAAGAAACACACACACGGCCCCACACAAATACAGACAGACAGACACACACACACACAGACACACACCCAGCGCCATCACTCCTGGGTCCCCTCCACAATACCCAGGAAAGGAGCAGGAATCTGTTCTGTGGGGACCTGGAGCTCCTTCTGCATCACCCCCGGGGCCCTGTGCCCAGAGGCAGGAGCATAAACCCTGGGATGCAAAGGACAATTACACCAACTGTCAGCTTTCCTCATACTCAGGAACTAGACATTTCAGATACTGAGAAAGTGACAATCCTGGGAAAGACCGGTCAGCCCTGATTCTCTGTCTAGAAAACACAACGGGTCCAGCATCTGGACACAGGTGTCTGACCTCAGGGAGGCGCCAGCTCTGGGGTGAGCCCATGGCGGGGATGAGGAGGGACAGGGTCGCTGGTGCTGAGCTGGGAGGAGGAGGAGGAGGAACAATTTGGGGGCTCAGAGCTGGGGGCTCAGCCGCACTCAGCTGCCTCCCTGGGGCTTGGTCATCCCCATCTAAGGCCAGCAGGAGGCAGCAAGGGCCTGGGTTTGGGGAGGCTCTGGTCTGGTTTCCTGACCTGTATGAAGCCCCCAGGTGCTGCCTCCTGAGCCCCCTAAAGGAGAGTGTGGGGTCAGTGTCCTCAATCTGTTCTGCTTCGTAAGCCCTTTGCTAGGAAGGCCAATAAAGGTCCCAGGGCCCCTCCTCCGAGCCCTGCAGAGGCAGGGGACAGGGGGGCAGGGGGCCCGTCCTGCTGAGGGGACAGGTGAGGGAGGGGGATGCACACCCCCAGCTCCCCTGTGGTGCCGGGAGGAGACGGGATGCAATCTCTACGTCACCCCAGCCCCTCGGGCCCCTGTCCTCACCTTCTACCCGCAAAACCCAAAGAGTGGTTATCGGGATTATTGGCCAACGACATCTTGACTGAAATAGTGGATGACAGGGACATCCCAGGATGGCCTCATTTCCTGGGCCCTGTAATGGTCAGTATCCTGACTAAAGACAATGTGTCACAGAGTTTTCATCCTCTCAGATGAGCCCTGCTGTCCATGGATGCCTCCAGAGCCAGGTCAGAGGGGTGAGGAGAGAGTGAGCAAGGGCAGGTGCAGGAATCTGATTTGCATGGAGGCCCCTCCCTCCTCTGAGGGGTTGGGGATAAGAGAGGTCTGGGGGTGCAGGCCCAGGGCTGGGGCTCAGAAGGCAGCGTCTGGGGCGTCTCCACCATGGCCTGGGCTCTGCTCCTTGTCACCCTCCTCACTCAGGGCACAGGTGAGGCCTCCAGGGAAGGGACCTCGTGGACATCTGGCTGATCCTTTGTGTCTTTGTCCTCAGGATGACAGAACTGACCAGAGTGTGTTTCTCCTCTTTGCAGGGTCCTGGGCCCAGTCTGGCCTGTCTCAGCCTCCCTCAGTGTCCGGGAATCCGGGACAGACGGTCACCATCTCTTGTGCTGGAACCAGCAATGACATAGGGAAATATAACGCAGTCGGCTGGTACCAACAGCTCCCAGGCATGGCCCCCAAAACCCTGATTTATGAGGTGAATAAACGGCCCTCAGGGATCCCTGATCGCTTCTCTGGCTCCAAGTCTGGCAACACGGCCTCCCTGACCATCTCTGGGCTCCAGGCTGAGGACGAGGCCGATTATTACTGTAGCTCCGCTAGAAGTGGTAACACTGTGCACCGTGGTCCAAGTTCATGGGGAACTGAGACCAATATCTCCTCTGAGATCACTCAGCCCTTCACTCCTAAACTGAGGCTTTCATTTGCTTTTGTTATCCGTTTATTTAGAAGCAATTATGCACTTAAACAAAAATGTATCGGTTACATAGAGAGCTGCTGCATAACCTTGTTCCAGATTCACGAATTTTAAATACTTTGCCATAATCGCTTTTCTCATATCCCGTTTTCTCTCATTCCCTCTCTGCATCTGTATGTCTATACACACACACATCCATATGCACACACAGCACACACTCAGGAACACCAAACATTTATATTCTGAATCATTTGAGAGTAATTTGTATCTATCAGCAACCAAGTCTTCGTATTTTTTCTTACATAGGATTCATGATCCATAACATACATCATTTTAAGGTGAATGATCCAGTGGTTTTTAATAGAGTCACAAGTTTGAACATCCACTAACATTCTATCTTCCAGGATATTTTTCATCCTCATAAAAGGAACACCTCATCCGTCACCAGTCAATCCCCTTTCCTTAGTCCCTCCAGCTCTCAAAACCATTTTTTTATAGATTTATTTATTTTATTTATTTACTTTTGGCTGCATTTCGTCTTCATTGCTGTGCATGGGCTTTCTCTAGTTGTGGCGATCGGGGGCTACTCTTCGTTGAGGTGTGCAGGCTTCTCATTGCAGTGGCTTCTCTTGTTGCAGAGCACGGGCTGTAGGCGTGCAGGCTTTCGTAGTTGTGGCATACGGGCCCTAGAGCGTGCGGGCTTCAGTAGTTGTGGCACGTGGACTCAGTAGTTGTGACTCGCAGGCTCTAGAGCGCAGCCTCAGTAGTTGTGGTGCACGGGCTTAGCTGCTCTGCGGCATGTGGGATTTACCCAGACCAGGGCTCGAACCCGAGTCTCCTGCAATGGCAGGCGGATTCTTAACCACTGTGCCACCAGGGAAGCCCCTCGAAACCATTAATATACTTCCTGCCTGTTCTAGACTTTTCACACGAATGCAACCATACCGTATGTGGCCCTTTTCGCCTGGCGCCTCTCACTCTTTATAATATTTTCAAGGTTCTTTCCCGTTGCAGCACATATGAGAACTTCATTCATTCTTTTTGCCAAATAATGCCACATTGTCAGCATCGACGTACTTGCTTGAACATCTGGGTAGACACAGGCATAAGCACCAGATGGCTTTCCCATCTTGCGAGAACTTTCCCAGTTTTAGCCCTGAAAGTGCCCTGTCCTGCCTGGGACTTCAATCTGGGGCAAATCAGGGTGGATCGTCGCTGAGATGGTTAATTTTATGTGTCACTTTGACTGGTCACAGGGGACTCAGAGGAAGCATCACTTCTGGATGGGTCCGGGCAGGTGTTCCTGTATGAGATGAGCATTTGAATCTGGGGACTCAGTAAATACATTGCCCTCCCCAGTGTGGGTGGGCATCGCCCAATCTGTTGAGGGTCTGTGTAGAGCAAAAGGAAAAGGCAGGAGGATTTCACGTCTGTGTTCTCTTCTCACTGGACGAGCTGGGACATTTCACCTCAACTTCTCCAGCCCTCAGACTGGAATTTACATCACTGGCTCCCCTGGCTCCCAAATCTTTGGACACAAACTGAATTACATCACCAGCTTTCTCAGCTTTCTAGGTGTAGAGAGTGGCTCCTGGGACTTCCTTGCTCAATAATCAATACCAATCTCTCTCTCGCTCTCTCCCTATGTATATGTATTCCTTACAAAAATTCTTCTTTTTTTATATGTATATATTTTTATTTGTTTTGTTTCCCTAGAGAACCCTGGCTACTACAGTCCTCTTACCAGGAAGCTCTATCTTCTCATAATGTTCCCATCATAATTATTTTTTCTAAGCTTTTACCTGTTACCTTCTCTCTTTCCCTGTAAAGACATAGGTCAGTATCAGCATGCTTGAATCACCTTGGCTTGAACAAGGTCATACAAGGACCCCCAGCAGCTGGGTCACAGCACAGGGAGAGGGGTCTGAGCTACTGGACACCAAACAATGCCCTGAGTCAGGTCCCCTTGTGTGTAAGGCTGGTGAGAGGCGACACCTGCCTGACAGGTGTGTGTCCTGGTGGAGACAACCGAGGTGCCACAGAGGCCACTGTCCCAGGATCCCCTGTGGCACCTGTGGGGAGACTTGGTCCCTGAGTGTAAGGGTACCAGCGGGATCTTTACCAAGAGTCAGCTGTGCACAGGGGGTCGGGAGCCACCATGGCCTCTACGAGTGTCTCCTGTAAAGGTGGGAGCACAATCTCCTGCTGAGAAATTGGTGCCTGTTTTTACAACATGGAGAATTTCCAACAAAACCACAAGGCAGATGTGGAGAGCAGAGGATGCTCCAATAGGAGATTTCTGGAGCCACCGCCCTCCAGGTGTGCGATGTGTGGGGTCTCAGGTTACAGTGGCAGCTTTCTGTGAAGCTTCAAATAATTATACTATATTTGAATATATGAATATATTTATACAATGATGAGAGGAATGTCACTTTGGGTGGAGGTAACATGAAATGGTTACGCTGTCCCTATGGTCAGGGTATCCGCCAGGGTTGTTATTATTCACAGCAACGAGGGATCAGCATCGCTGGCCTGATACCTTCCTGTGTCCATTGAATTTGGGTCAGGTGTCATTAAACTTTTCTGGCTGTTATGACATTCTTTTCTTAAACTGGTAGTATTTAATGAATCCCATATTTAATTTTTTCCAGAAAGATAAGAGTCCAGTAATTGATTTTAGTGATTCTTAATATGTATATGCTTTTACTTTATTGCTTATTGCTTATTACTTATTATTTGTTAGTAGTAATTTTCCTCCTTTTGTGGCAGTCAATCTTATTATATTTCCGTCATGTTTTATTGAGTGGGCGCAAACATCTCGGGAATTTTTAATTCAACTGTGACACCCGAATCATGAGGGGCCCTGAGTTGCTGCTTGTGTGAACAAACGTGCAGTAGAGGCAAGACAGCTCCCGTGACCCCGGGGTTTACTTCTTGCAGGAAGCACTGGACACCTGCAGTGATCACAGGAGCCTGTCCACAGCGACCCCCGCAGATAAAGACCCAAACCGCTGGGATCTGAGCTGGTTTCAGGTGCCTGACTGATTGACTTGTGAGAAGTTCCTGAACCAGTCCCCGCTTTATTATAATCTCAAAAAAAGTCATCGTTAAACGAATGTCTACATAGTACAGCACATACCTCTGTGAAACACACGCCAACGATTGTCTCAAATCCAGAGCTACCGCTTTCCCGCACAGCTTTCCTTTCCCGCCCCCAGAGGCTCCCCTTCACCCACCGCAAGCTCAGCCAGGGCCTCACCTCCTTAGCTCCTGGAATGTGGTCGTGTGATATGAACAGTGACACTAAAATCCTTCATCACAATACTCATGTTCCATAAACTCCTAGTCCATTGCCTGAGGGGTCATGTCCATTTGCAACCAGAAAGGACCCATCATCCTGAGTGTAAAATATACTGCAAACTCAGCTCTTTCTGGAAAAACACCCTTGGGGAAGCGTGTCTGTGATGAAGAGCCTTTACTTCAGCAAGGTGCCAGGCTCTGAGGTGAGGGCGTCTCAAGGGCACAAAGGGGAAGACAGAGAATGTCCGTGTCCCCAGGAACCAACCCCTCCTGCGGAGAAGACCCAGAGCTGGACCCCCAGGCCCCTCCTGACCCGGTCCCTCCTCCAGAGCCTCAGCCCCGGAATCTCCCCCTTGATTCCCTGGGTCATTCTCTATCTGGACGGAGCTCTCCCTCTGTCTCACGTTACCCCCCCCCCCCATTGCCCCTCTTTGCTTCTGGACCAACAATTAGACTCAGGTCCCAGCAGTCTCCTAAGATGAGAATAGAGTGTGAGCCTCGAGAGGGGCACTGCACTCCAAGAGCTGCTTGGTTCCCCTAATTCACACAGACAGAAATCCCCGGGACACGCTGGGAAGGGATTCCAGGGTGGGGGGCAGTGGTGGGAGGAACATCAAGCTGGATCAGCTGGATTTGTGATCTGGGCTCACTCCACACACACTCTGCGTTTCACGTTCCCTGCAGCTCGGGGAGGTAGAAAGAGCCTCATTTGCCTGTTGTTTGGCGGAAGGAAAATCCAAGATGGCCTCTAGTGCGTGAACTAGAGAAGCCAGACTTGCCTGGAGACAAAGGGATTCAAAAGGTAATGAGATTGGAGCATCTATGAATGGCTCTGTGCTCACCCTTCTCCAAGCCAGAACTTGTAGTGGGAACTGCAGCCCCTCAGCTGCAAATCCTAAACGCAACGGGAGGAGCTGGATCCTGGGGGGCCGGGGCCAAGGGGTGGCCCTCCCCTACCGAGGGCAAGGCTCCCGTCATGGCCCGTGGAGTCAAAGCAGCAACGAGAAGAGTCTGATGTGTGCAGATCTCTGGCGTTGGCTTGTTAATCGCGGCATTTCTGGAACTGAAAAAGGTAGAAGCCTGCTACATTCCTACTTGGTCAAAACAAATTCTAGGTCAAGTGGAAAAATTATTAAAAAGTTTTCAAATTATAAAAATTCCCCCTAAACGCCCATTTTGGGCCCACTGAGAAGACTCTCGGGACTCCGTAGGGAGTCAGCCTCATGGCTGTGATTTCCTTCAGTGAGAGGAGACAAAGGAAAATCAGCAAAGGGCAATGGTGGATGAGGTCAAGTCCGAGGAAACCAGGAGAATCTTCCCGGACGCCTTTCCGAGGGACGGGCTTCATCCCCAGCGTCAAATGGTGACAATGTGTGTGAAGAATTGTATCACAGGGAGACTCGTCAGACCAACAAGGCATCAGACCAACAAACCAGAGGCTGGTTTCCTAGGCATCTCCTGTCTGGCGTCTGCCGACATTCCAGACTCTTGAGGGTTTTAGCAAAGCGTTTTTAAAGGCCAGGAGAGAGGTGGTCACAGGGTACATGATCAGCTTGTGCACAGTTCTCTGATTGGCTGATGGTGAAGCAACACGGTGGAGTCACAGGGCTG